GAAGGTATCTTTATTGGTTTCAAAGGCCACGCCCCCAAAATCAAGTACTTTTGAGGTATCTCACCATACTGCCAAGATCGCTGTATCGAAAATTACTGCCAGAATGGTGCGCAGTGTGTTGAGGACTTCACAGCCGATGCCGCTGTTTGTCGTTGTAAGAATCCAAATGTTCAAAGTGGACAAAATTGCGAAATAGGTGAGTGGGAAAAGTGGGCGGAGCCTGCACAATACATATAACAGTTGTCTCATTGGGTTATATTTATATGCAAAACCGACTAGTAGAATAGTTTTGAGATTTCTGATATCAGATTAACTTTTCAAAAAAGTCTCAATCGTTTTCGTAAAGAACAGCCCCTTTTTCTGAAACAAGCCAGGGTCAAAAGACTGGAAAAAAAATTTTGAAAGCTTCTTGATGTTGACTCAGCTGACTCCCTTCACCTAAGAGTTCCCGTCGCCCCGTTTCTGAGTAAGTTTTCTGCAACAACCATTAGTTGACGAATCCTTTCAGACATCAATCGAAACTCGTCCGTTTCCTTCTATGGTGGATTTTTGAAGTACGAGTTATCACATAATCCGCTAATTGAGCAGACAGTGTTTTCGTTTCGTACGGACCAACCACAAGCTTTGCTGATGTTCGTTCACGACCACAACAATAACTTCATGCAGGTATGTCGACGGTAAGCTACAGTAGTGAGACTAGTTAAGCGCGAGCCCAGCCAATCACAGTTGTGCCCGGAAGCAGCGTGACCAATCAGAGCTATACCGCCCCGCCCACCAACATATCGATTTCAGCTTCATCTTTCGGAAGAGGTCAATTTGACATTATCACTGAACAACGAAGACGTCGTTCATTCGTGTACTGTCAGAGCACGTCCTGGGACGGAGTACGGTAACATGCAGTGGACTCAGGTGAATATAAGCAATAATTGACCTTATGAGAAAATGATTCTGCATTTTTGCATTGATCCAACCAATCGCCGTTTTTCAAAAATTTCCTTTTTGTGGAAAATTACTGTTGTTTCGGATAACCATAGAACACACGAGTGAGTCATCAACTCTAACAGTGGACGATGATGCTTGCACCATACATGCCCCAAGAAAACTTGCCGAACATCCTATACAGAAATTTTCGCATGTCTTTACAGGTCTCATACTCTATCCCTCAGGATTTAGTTCAGTCGTGATGTCCTCCATTTCTAGATATCGTATTCATCCCTGTTGGGCTGAACTCTCCTACAGATCCCAAGCCGTTCGTTTATACTTTTGTGGGCGGAATCGAGCGAGATATTCCATCAAATGGTACGTAGCATTTCTTTGGTCCTGCTCCCTTTAACAATCGATTATCGATCAAGATGGATCGATGATTCTGCGGCCGATTTATCAATGCGCTGTGCCTGATTTGCTCGGCTGTTTACGCGGTTTACGGATTGGTGAAGTGATAGATTTGCGTCATACTGAACATGGCTACCGACCAAATGATCCGAGTTGGTGACGTCAGATTCGATCAGTTATCGATTTTGAGTCAACATTTGTAGAGCTGGTCCGCAGTGGATGCGAGTTAGGATGCAGTTCGTTAGATTGCAAAAATAGTGGGCATTGTTCGGTAGCATGGCAAGAGAATGCTGATGTTACATGTGACTGTTCGCGGACGAGTTATACTGGGACAGACTGTACTGAAGGTGACTTCTATCAGAGCGATAGAATAATCATTCTGAGACAACCTTTAATTTATAGTGCAATTACAGACAACGGCTTTACAATTTATGCCACTGCTTATTTCACCTTCGACATCGACCGCTTCCTCTCACGCTACATCCTGACTCCAGCGAAGACAACACAAACTCTACAATTTGCTTTCGCTCCATTGTCACCGTCCACTCACCATCAACACCTTGCCACGATTTACTTCAAGGATGAGAGGTACACCTTTTGTGGGCGGAGTTACACGAATACGCAAGACCTGTTTTAGGCTCTTAGAGGTGATCTTGAATCGAAATGGATCGATTAATGTAGGGATAATAAGTGACGAGAAAAGGGATGTGGTCAGGACATTTGTTGGAAATTACTCGGATGGCTATCGTCACTTCCTTGTTGCACGGTTTGGTGCACATCAAGCTACCACGGTTACTGTGAGTCTTTGTACTCACTTAGGAAGAGAAGGATAGATGGCTTTTTTAACAGTAAACTTCTTTTCTCACCGGCCGTCTCCAGCGCCATCTATAAAGCGACTATGTCTCAGGGATTCGCGCCTTGCGGGCGGTCAGAGGCGATCTTACAGATGGTTGGTGTGTGCGATTGTAGGTCGTCAAAGACCGATCGTACGGGCAGGGGCTCACACACGGTTATTACTGACTGCTTGCGCGGGGAAGGTTGCCCGCTCGCTCGTTGTTGGGGTAATTTTGCATGAGGTACCTTAATCAAATCTCTTCGAATCATCTTAGCCCTGTACACATTCTTAGAACAATTCCTGCAGCAGTGTTCGAACTCTCTATGACGAAGTCCGCGTCATTCTTGAAAAAAAGCAGTATA